TTATATTTTATGATAGAACTTACAGACAATTTTCTCATCATTGTTCCCTCTTGGAAGCAAAATGCATTCATTCTAGCCATAGTCATCAAATTTCTAGTTTGTCAGGTTGAAGATTTTTCAATAAAAAATCGTCTATCCCGTAAGATAGTATGTATTGTTGCAAAATCAATGAATGCATCATTTGATTCAACATTAGAGGTTTTTTTCATTCATATAAGTCTCTAAATCATCAATACCAATTGAATCCATAGATACATCCATGGTATAAACTTCATAAGCCTTAACTCAAAGTTTCTTATTTTTTTAGAATATTTTAATAAAGTATTCTAAAATATGGCATGCATGTACAAAATATCTAATTATTTTATATTTATGGTAAGAACAAATCTCTAATTTTTATTTTCTACTATAATTAATTGTAGAACGTTTTTTTTCATATAGGTGGAAACAGTCATGACCATGATTGACTTGGTGCTTATGAGCATTTTTTTCATATTTGTATAATTAGTTCTTAGACTTTGGAATATTAAGTGCATGAAATTTTGGAATTGTGGTTCTAATAGGACGAGCTTTTGTATTGTGCAAGAGTAGCTCATTTTATTTCTCCACAAGAAGTAGATAGGACATGAGATCAAGATGACTCTAAAATTTCATATTCCTATATTATTGTGCAAACTTAGTAAATATGAGAGGAAATGTAGAGAGAGTTTTCTCAATCATTTCTTCTTCAGAGATGCTTTGTTCACATAATCATAGTTGTAAGACAATACAATACATTTTACTCTTGAAATTTAAATTTCAAAAATCCAACCTATGTAAATGTATCCAATTATGATATGCATGTCCAAGGAAAATGGTCTTTTGATGATCAAACCTAGATTTAAGGTTCCTCCAAAGCTTGGTTGAATCTTCCATTTTTAAATATTGATGTTGTAATGCAAGTACAAGATGTCGGTAAAAGAGAAGAAGTACTTTCTAATGAATAGCAATAGAAATTGTAGTATTTCAAGTAGGAGATTCTTCAAATATAATTGCATCCTATAGTTGTTGTGTAAATAAATTTGCTTTTGCTATTTTTGCCCATAATAGATAATTATTTCTATCAACAACCAATGGTGGAAATAGAAGAGCTTGAAAATGTTGGAATGAAGTGGTGATAGTTTGAAACATAATAGAGGTAGTTGAAGATGTTGAAGCACGAATTATATATAAATCTATGAATAAAAATACAAGTTCAAGTAGAAAAGGTTTAGTAAAATACACCTTAAAATATAAAGGCAAATAAAATGATAAAGTTGAAAGTTGAAATAAAAAAAGTTAAAAAAATTAGATTTTTTATTTTATTTTTATTTTTATTTTTTTTCCTACAAAAATAAGAGTCTACTATGGACTACGGCAGGATATGAGAGGGTGCGGCAAGGTGCAATAGTTTGGCGGCAAGGTACAGTAGTTGGTGACAGTTTGGCGATAAGGTGCGACAGTTTGGATGCAATTGGTAGCAATTGGAATAGGATGCATCAATCAGCGACAGTCGATAGTAGTTGGTGGCAAGATGTAGTAGTTGGCAGCAGTTTGGCAGCAGGGTATGGTAATACAACAGCACAGCAACAACACCATTACAACATAGGATAGCAATAGTAGCAGTAGCACATGACAACAATAATAATAGCAACAACACAACAGCAGCAGCACATGAAGAAAAAAAATTGAGAAAAAAAACAAAGAATAAAGTATACATAAGTTTTTAAGAACAAAGACCAAAATATAAGAATAATTATGCTGATAATGTGTTGAGAATGTTTTAGAGAGAAAAAAACAACAGTAGCTAGAAGTAATATCCACACAAATGTAAACACACACATACACAAGAAGTGAGTTTATTGATAGGATTATATTTCTTATACAAGTGGAGAAAAACAATTTCTCCCCCACTACATTCCAAACATTGTAGTTATAGTAAATACTGTAGACCACAATAAATAGTATAGACTACAATAAATAGTATGGAGAGCGCCGGCTACATTTAATGTGATCAATAGAATGGAAGTCAATTATAGTGCCCACAATTGTGTACATTGGCTATTTGATCTCAAATAGCTTTACTTTCTCAGATAGCCTTTCACCAAAATGAGCAGCACTCATGTACGCTCGACCCTTCAGTTGCCCATCGTTATCTCTCAAATATGGGCTGTAGATACCAACGCTTTGGCCAAGTTCAAATGTGGTTTACCGGCTTTGCATAAAATGGCATCATCAATGAAGTGTAGAAATTGAGGAGGTATGCTTTGACTCAGTTACGAAGTAAAGATCAGCATCCCAGTTTTTGGCAAACAGTCTCATTTTCCGTACATTTGCGAGCGAAAGTTCGGCACGAGTACAACCGATGTGAACACATCGCACGAAGGCATTAACTTAGACTGTTGTAGTATGGCCACCAACATAGAAGTAGTGACATACACGCATGCATCCTTCACTGGACAGAATTCCAGGAATTTAAAGCCTTCGACTTGCCCACTTCAAAATTAATCAGCACATTTGCTTTGTAACCACCGCATCCAACATTTCCTTGACACACACAATGCATCATACATGCTACCAGACCATGGAAATGCATGTGCCACGGTCGGACGACTCCTAATGTGTCCAGATATGCCATCGAAAATCAAAGCTCGTACCAAAATATGAAAGATTTCTGCGAGCGAAAGGAAAGAACGTCCTCATGGTTACGGTGTGAAACTCACTGCACGGCGTCGCAACGGTGGCTTGCCGCCATGCCCAAGTTCTACACCGTGGTTTAGTCATGCTACGCAATATTCTTGCAACGGGAGGACAATACGAATAGCAGCACTGACAATGCAGCCGTGGGGAGAAGTGAAAACAGCATAGGGCAGCAAGAACACCAGCAAGACGGCGGCAGACAACCAGCACAATTATTGACAAAGTTGTGAACAACAACAAGCAACAACACTTTTAGAATACTCCATGGAATCTGAAAGGGTCTCCGATCCGAGGGCAGCCCCAAAGAGGGTTCATCCGTTGAATGGATGTCCTTCACTGGATGAGGTCCTAATTGTCAAAGCCGTCCCAATAATACACCGTTTCCACCGTAGTCCTCCCGTTTGCTTGTTCTCTCCGTAGTGGATCAAATCGCAGCCGTTTTCACAGCTTGAGCCTCTCTGGAAAACCGTCTTTGCATCCGCTTGATTGGTCTGTGTCATTCTAGCTGGCATTTAGCTTTGCAGTTACTTGATTGGTTGCGTCATCCCTTTCTGGCACAAAGCTTGGACCCTCGGGGGCAGTGAAAGTGCAACCCTAGCGTGGGAAGAATAAGACCAGTAGTACCGAGAGCGGCATTGTGCCACGAGCAGGGTCAGAATCCGGGCTTGGATCGTTTGAACTCAGGTCAATGCCTCGCAGACCATCATGGCACCTGCCATGTCAGGATGTTTTAACAGGACCCACAAGTTTTATCTAGTAAATTGGCGGCGCTGTTTTCGCTCTCGCCGTCCCTGGCACCTCCCTGTAGTGAGTGTACAAGTGTTCGCCGTTCAAGCCAGTGCTTTTATTCTTTAGACTTGGATGCTTCATGCATCCTGCTGTTCACCTCGCTGTCTGTCGTGTCCAGCTTAACTGCATCCATCGTGCTTTTCTGTTGTAGGTAGAAGTAGCACTCCGCTTAAACTCGATACTGTTCCAATGGCTCCGGTTTCCGATTCTGTTCTGGTTACGTGTGTGCGAGGATGCTGTTTGAGCATTTTTAGAAGGTCTAGATCTGGTATGATGTAAATAAAGCATAGCCTTGACTTGGGCATGGCCCGCAGAGAATTGCATAATTGTGTTAAAAGAAAGCTTGCGGTAGCAGCGCTGCAATTTGATCTGTTCCAACTGGCTTCTCCTTGGGATTGATTCCAGAAACAAAAAGAATTCTCCTCAAACTCATACTCGTTAGTTAGAGGTATCGATCTTGTGCGGTCTGTTTACCTCTGCCTCTAGAATGAAAGGATAAATTTTTACCAAGGTATCTGGTATTAATCAATCCAGCTTCCTTCGCTATCTTTGGCAGATGTGAAATAATTCATGACAATTCTTGGTTGTTAAATGAGCCAGCTGGTGATGTGTGATGCACTCGCTTGAATTTCTCATCCTCCAACAAATTTTAATTTTAATGCTTCCAAAGCTTGAGGTACTTCGAAAGCTCCACAAACTTCAAGCTTTGGGATCGAAATTTCTCCCACAGCAAACGTTTTCCACCGGAATCTGTTCAATCGGTTGTCGAGGCATGAAATACAGAGTTGTATACAGAATTTCCTCTAAGTTCCGACCTGATGTAAACCTGGTTTCTTGCAAATAGTTTGGTGCAAGTGGTGCAATTCGAAGCTCAATTGGAGTGTTGCACATTGAAACTTGTAAAGCTGCAGTTGTGATACAGACTGATGCTTTTCGGTCTTTAATTATCATTAGCTGCCAGCTGGTGGATTTAATTGTCTGTTGCGAGATCTCAACGCAAAACAAGCAAGGTAGCACTGATAAAATTGTGAGTTCCTGTCAAGTTGCCAAACCTACGCACGTTACACTAGTCTGTTACAGTGTGAACGACGAAGCGATGCTGAGGCTTGTAAGGGAGAGATGCTGGAATGGGTCTGACGGATGTCGAAGTGAGAGGATTTTGGGTGAGGAACGAGAGCGAGAATATTGCGCCGAGCCTGTAAGTCGACAAATAACGGCGCTGGAAGGGATACGATGAATGAAGGCAAGAACGGCTGATGCACGAGCACGAAACGACTTGTGCAACATCAGCACTTACCTCGTTCATCCAAACTTCATGCTACGACGGTAAGGCCAGAGCCTGGAGCATTATTAATAGCGTGTGTCCGCAACACATGTCCCCCGATTTCCTGTCTGCATTAATAATTTAAGCCTCAACCTGAGGCCTTTTCAACGACTTTCCGAATCTTACGATCACGAGTAAAATTCAGATGTGATGTCTACCAGAGCTGGAGGTGTTAAAAAAGTGGCCTGTGAACTGAAATGTTTTTTGGGTTCCATGAGAGGCTCAACGTAAGAGTCGGTTTGTGGAGGCTCTGTCTGAGTTCTTGAGGAGTTTTGTGAGAGTTTCAGAGGTCATTGTAGAGGGTGGTCAAGAGAGGTCTGCAAAAGGATGAGATCTTTTTTGAACTGTCAGTGTGTAGAGTAGAGATTCAGGTGGAGAAACGGGGTAATGTGGAGGGAGCTGGCCAAGCAAACATAGCCGTCGTCGCCTCCTTTTCCGCCCATCAATAATTTCAGCTCAATCGTCTTGTTTCCTCTTGAATCATCGTCATCTTCTGCTGGAGGGGCGAGGGAGATGATCACTCGGAGGCGAGGCGAGGCGAGGCCGGTGAGGAAAGAGCGGGACATATTTCCTAAGTCGCCTAGGTGCGGGGTATAGACAGGGATTGGATCGTTGGGGGCAAGCAGGAGAAGTGGAGGAGGGAGGGATTTCGGCAGCATGGAGTCGAGTCCAGGGCTTCTGGCGGGCTCGCACAATCGGAACGAGCTGGTTGTCATCCGGCAGGAAGGCGACGGGGTGAGGAAGCTCTTTGCTGCGTTGTGTCTGCAATGCATGCTACTCGGAGTCGGTCATTTTCCATACTGAAGCCTTCAACTGCGATACCAACATTGTCCATAGATCTTGTCTTGTCCATTTTTCTGTGTCTAGAAAACAGTGTGACTCCAAGAAGGGAAGCAACGACGTTAAGTATCCATGCAATCACGTTAACAAGCTCGATTGCGACGACTCTATTACTAGCGTATTTACAAGAAGTTCTTAAATGATGCCCTAATTTGTCCACCAACTCTCCAGTATTTCCATCTTAACGTTTGAAGAGGATCCTTGAAATGCTATCATAGAATGCGAGACGAGGTCGTGTTTACACTAGTTCTCATGAAATACAGAAGGAAGTTTTACTAGCAATTCTCTAGTTCTGCAGAAGACGTTGAATCCCTTCCCGTTTCCTATCTATGATGTCTAGAACTCGCTGCAGGCTTAAACTCTTCTGGATTGAGGCGGATTTATGAATCTTGCTGAACGAAGCAACAAGTACCTATTGTGAAACTAGTTAATAGTCTTGAGAACTTTGTTTTTGCTTGTGTGCAGCCGAAACCGTTAAGTTATGTGGACAGCCGAATTTGTCAAATTTGTGGTGACGATGTGGGATTGAACATGAGACGAGAGATATTTGTGGCGTGCGATGAATGCGGCTTCCCGGTGTGCCGACCTTGCTACGAGTACGAACGGAAGGATGGTACTCAGGCATGTCCTCAATGTCGGACTCGCTACAAACGCCACAAAGGTAAGATTCTCCAGGACCATGTCTTCTAGGACATTTCTGAGCTGTGGTGTCACAGAGGCAGTCCCTAAAATCTTATCATGATGTAAAAGAGCGTTTGTGGTTGAGGGATGTGCATGTGCTGACATATTTTAACTCAGTGATTGACATGCACTTGTGGCGCCTTGGACTGCAGGGAGTCCTCGAGTGAAAGGAGACGATGAAGAAGAGGACTCCGACGACCTAGACAACGAGTTTAACCACGATGGAGATTTGGGCAAGCGCGACGAACAGCAAGTTGTGGACGAGATGCTTCACAGCCAGATGGCTTATGGTCGGGACATGGACGTGACGCTGTCTGCAATGCAGCCTACGTATCCCCTTCTTACGGATAGGCACCGTCACACAGTACGTTTGGATGTTTTTGGGGGCTAGACGAAGTGGTTATGACCTAGCTTTGTTCTCTGCGAAAATTTCCTGTGGCGCTAATTTTCGTCACATAAGCGGGTGACCACACGTTAGATTGAATGCGTTTCGGGTGTGGAATTCGGATTTGTGTGAAGCTGCGACATGGAATCGTGGTCGGTCGGTCGTGTGGTGTAGAGATGGTGGATGGTGCCTTGCGTGGTGGTGGTGTTTGGGTCTATCAGGGCTGATTCAATGTTGAACGCGCAGGTGTCTGTAACAAGTGATTCAGATGCAATGTCTCCTGATCGTCAAGCGATTTTCCCTGTTACGGGAAGGAGATTGACTCATGCCACCTCTTACAGCGACATTGGCACCCCAGGTGAGACATTGGAAATCTACGATTTGCGTTGGAATTACTTGAAGCATTCTCTCTATGATTGGCTGCGTGGAAAATGCGATGTCATCATTCGCTGTATGTCGGTGTAGAGAGGAGAACCAAATAGGCTGTACATAAATGCATGAGAATCGTGGTATTTTCAAGTCTATTTGCGTACGATGGATCGCAATTGCGGAGGCCATGGACATGGACGACTGACGGATTGAATATTCACAACAGTCAGAGCATTGGACTCGGCTAAGGATGCGGGCTCGGATGGGTATGGGAACGTCGTCTGGAAAGAGAGGGTGGAGAGCTGGAAGTCAAGACAGGGAATGCAGATGACGATGAGAGAGGGAGGCCAGCTTCAAGCAAGTGGAGAGGGAGGTTATGATGGCAGCGGCCTCGATTGCTCGGATCTGCCCATGTGAGGTTTATGGTTTAAACTTGTATGCAAAGTTGGGTCGAGTGTGTTCAAACTCCGTGTCAGGCGCCTGGGTTGCCCCGCTTTTCTGAATATGTTCCCAGGCAGGCCTCTCCAGACAACGGAGTTTTGAAAGATCTTCGTGCTACTGTAAGATGTGTGGTTTCACTTGATGCTAGAACGGTGCAGCTCTTTCTTGGATGTCGCAAAGCACTAGGATATATGGCGATCCATAAGTGCCGTAATGTGGCGTCGAATGGATTTTGGAGGTTGTGGATGAACTGACTGTGATTGTCGGTCACGTACTGTAGAATGGACGAATCGAGACAGCCTTTATCGAGGAAAGTTCCATTCCCATCGAGCAAGATCAACCCCTACCGGATGATTATCGTAATTCGCCTGGTTGTGATTTGCCTGTTCTTCCGATACCGTATCTTGAACCCCGTGAACGAAGCGTACGGACTTTGGCTGGTGTCGGTGATCTGCGAGATTTGGTTCGGCATATCGTGGATCCTGGATCAGTTCCCGAAGTGGCTACCCATCAACCGTGAGACTTACCTAGATCGACTTTCCCTGAGGTACGTTCTGTGGACCTCGCACGCAGCTGTGACAGGCAGAGTTTGTTAAGGCACGAAGCTTAGGCATTGCAAGTGATTGGGTTCGATTGAACACTTGGCAGTGTAGGATCCTAGTTGGTGGACTCCAGGCGTCTCCCAATGGCCCGGGAGGGCGCAGACTGTGTTGGTATGAGAGTGTTACGGCAGTTCCGTTCAATGCTGCTGTAGTTATAAGTCTGCAATTGTCGTCGTGGTCACTAGTAGATGTCGTATGTGGTCCATGACTTTGCGACGTTGTTGCGGGCGTTGGTGCAGGTTTGAGAAAGAAGGGGAGCCGTCTCAGTTGGCGCCGGTGGACATTTATGTCAGTACGGTGGATCCCATGAAGGAGCCACCCCTGGTGACTGCCAACACTGTGCTGTCGATTCTGGCTGTGGACTATCCAGTGGATAAGGTGTCTTGCTACATATCTGATGATGGAGCGTCCATGCTGACCTTTGAGGTTTTGTCGGAGACGTCGGAGTTCGCTCGAAAGTGGGTGCCGTTCTGCAAGAAGTTCAACATCGAGCCCCGGGCACCTGAGGTGTACTTTGCTCTGAAGATCGATTACTTGAAGGACAAGGTGCAACCGACTTTCGTGAAGGAGCGCAGAGCTATGAAGGTGAGGTGACATGAGCTGACCTGTGGACGGTGCCGTGCATGAGAGGAGTTGCATGCTTTTGTTGGTGGATAGGTAATGTTGATCGATCCTGACGGTGCACGCACTTGGATTGCATGCGTTGGCTGTGGTGTTGCAGTTCATGAACACCGTCCGCATTATGTGTGGTGTCGTAGTGGTTCGTGAAGGATCTGCCCGTAGTTACTGATGTGGTGAGAGGGAATGGGTATACGCAGAGGGAGTACGAGGAGTTTAAAGTGCGGGTGAATGCGTTGGTCGCTAAGGCGCAGAAGATGCCCGACGAAGGATGGACAATGCAGGATGGCACACCGTGGCCTGGGAACAACACACGTGACCATCCCGGAATGATACAGGTTAGTGCGATCCTCCCATACTGCGGCACAGGTTTGTCCCAATAACAAGTGAGTAGCAGAGGTGGGTATGAAGAGGTAGCTGATGAATGTGGGAGGCTCCGCTTTGTCCTGTTGCCGCGATGCACCTGTTGTGCGACTTGGTGACCGTTTGTGAACGACTGTGTCACGATGGTAGGTCTTTCTGGGACACAGCGGCGGTCATGACACGGAAGGAAACGAGTTGCCGCGGCTGGTGTATGTGTCGAGGGAGAAACGGCCTGGATTCAATCACCACAAGAAAGCCGGTGCCATGAACGCGCTGGTTCGGGTGTCCGCAGTGCTGACAAACGCACCATTCTTTCTGAATCTGGATTGTGATCATTACATCAACAACAGCAAGGCTCTTCGGGAGGCGATGTGCTTCCTGATGGATCCCATCGTGGGGAAGAGAGTGTGCTACGTCCAGTTCCCTCAGCGGTTTGATGGGATTGACAGAAACGATCGATATGCCAACCACAACACTGTCTTCTTCGACGTAAGTGTTCCGATCTGGAATTGGGACTTGGGCATGTGTATGGGTGGAGTGCACCTTAGAATGCCGTCATGCAGTTGGTTCAATGATGGCAGGTTGCGGACGTTGTCCGTGATTGAAACGTGGATGAGTATTGGTGCGGCGTCGTTTATGGACAATTTAGCAGCATAGAGTTCAAGGCGCAGCCCACTAGATGGCATTCTTGTCGATGTCTTGGCATTTATGATCGCCTTTGGGGCATGTAACGATCCAGGCGATTTTCATCTGGTACTGTGCGTGTGCGGGAGATTCACTGGTGGGTACTGGTGATGTGTGGTGCGCAGATCAACTTGAAGGGTTTAGATGGCGTGCAGGGCCCAGTTTATGTGGGTACGGGGTGCTGTTTCAAGAGGCGAGCCATTTATGGTTACGATCCTCCTCCCAAAGATCCTAAAGCATCGAGTGGTCGCAGCCAGAGCGTGTTTCCATCCTGGCTTTGCGGACCCCTTAAGAAAGGTCTTCAAAATGCAAGAGCGGGGAAGGGTGGAAAGAAGCGGCCGCCATTGCGTACCGAGTCCAGTATTCCCATTTTGGACGTGGAGGATATCGAGGAAGGTATCGAGGGCACGGCGTGTTCTGTGATTGGTCTGATGATGGTACAAGTTTCTTTGTTATGTGGGTTGTCGGAGCAGTAAGTGTTGATCATGAGCTGAAGATTGGGCTGTACGTTGACGAGTGGTGGACGTCTCTTCTATGGTAAAATGCAGCGGAGTGTTATAAGAGTGGGTTAATGTGTGGACGCAGGAATGGACGAGGAGAAGGCGTCGCTTATGTCGTCGCAAAACTTGGAGATGCGGTTTGGTCAGTCTCCAATCTTTGTCGCGTCGACGGTCCTGGAGAGTGGAGGCGTGCCGCTCTCCACCAGTCCAGGGTCATTGTTGAAGGAGGCCATTCATGTGATCAGTTGTGGGTACGAAGATAAAACGGATTGGGGGAAGGAGGTAAGTTCTGAGATGATGGGGTTGGAGGATCCATGACGTTTCCTACTCTTTTCGTGTGTAGTTCTTCTCATAGTGCACACTGCACCTGAAGAATAGTGGAGGGCGGGGTAGTTGGTTTGTGTCGGTGTTTTTATGCACGATGTACCAAGTACATAACATCATTGCACCCTGTTTGGTCCGTTGGTTCAGATCGGGTGGATCTACGGGTCTGTGACGGAGGATATTCTGACAGGGTTCAAAATGCACTGCCGGGGATGGCGGTCCATCTACTGCATGCCAGCGCGGGCTGCATTCAAGGGTTCTGCTCCCATTAATTTGTCGGATCGGCTGCAACAAGTGCTGCGTTGGGCTCTGGGGTCTGTGGAGATTTCTCTTAGCCGGCATTGCCCTCTGTGGTACGGGTATGGCGGAGGGAAGCATGGTGAACTGAAATGTCTAGAGAGGCTAGCGTACATAAACACGACGATCTATCCACTGACGTCGTTGCCACTGCTGGCGTACTGCGTGCTCCCTGCTGTGTGTTTGCTGACCGGAAAGTTCATTATTCCCACGGTACTGGCCGTCTGTATCTCGTGCCTGCTTGAGGCGTTACCGTACTTGATGAATGGCACCCTGAGGATTATCTCGTAGCTTCAGCTGGGATGTGGTTGTGGGTGGAAGGTTAGGCGATGGTCTTCCTGAATCGTTGCTTATGCCGCGTGGTGTGTGCAGATTACTAATTTAGATAGTCTGTGGTTCATATCGTTGTTCATCTCCATTTTTGCGACTGGTATATTGGAAATGCGGTGGTCAGGAGTGGGCATCGACGAATGGTGGAGGAACGAGCAGTTCTGGGTGATCGGAGGTGTATCGGCCCATTTGTTCGCGCTGTTCCAAGGGCTACTCAAAGTGTTAGCGGGTATCGACACTAACTTCACGGTGACGTCCAAACAAGCCGAAGATGAAGACTTCGCGGAGCTGTACATGATCAAGTGGACTGCCCTTCTGATCCCGCCCACCACTCTACTGGTGATCAACATGATCGGCGTGGTGGCGGGGATTTCAGACGCCATCAACAACGGGTACCAGTCTTGGGGTCCGCTGTTCGGCAAGCTGTTCTTTGCTTTCTGGGTGATCGTGCACTTGTATCCGTTCCTGAAGGGTCTGATGGGACGGCAGAACCGCACACCCACCATCGTGATCGTGTGGTCCATCCTGCTGGCTTCCATCTTCTCCCTACTTTGGGTGCGCATTGATCCATTCCTGGCAAAGGTGACGGGTCCCGATATTACGGAGTGCGGGATCAACTGCTGATAGCTTATCAGCTATAAATTTGTACTTTAGTTGTCGTCTTTCCATTAGTTTATTTACGGTGGGTTCTGTTGAAACTTTTGTTTTAATACTAAAAGCACATCACTTAAAACACAGATATCAATGTGTAATATTAATCTTTATTTTCAGAATTCATATTTATATCTTGAAGAGAAGTTATACTTTTAACTAGTAAGTCATTAGTTTTTAAACTCCCACTAAAAGAAAAACTTCTCTATTGACATTACATGAAGTAAGTCTCCCACTTTGATAGAGAAGTTAAATATCATCCTGGATGTATGGTGAGAAGCACATATTTGCTTGAACTTTTTTGGAGTTAATGGTTTTGTGAATACTTAGGCATCATTGTCATGAGTAGAGATGTAGTCAATTTGTAGGAGTCCATTCTGAATTTGTTCTCCGATCATATGATACTTAATATCCACATACTTAGTTTGTGAGTGAAATTTAGGATTAAGTGCCTGCCTGATAGCACTTTGGGAGTCAAAGTATAAGACTATTGATGTGTCTTTAGAAAATCCTAGATTAGCAAGGAGCCTCTCTTTTGTGGCCATATAACAAGTAACTCAGAATATGTCATACTGTCAACAAGACAGGCTTGTTTTTTTGACCCCTAGCTGATCGGTCCTCCATTCATAAAAAGAATGTATCCACTGTGAGATTTTCTGTCATCATCCACTGCATAATCAACATATGCAGTAAGTAGAGTCTAAGAGATAGTCCCATTGTAAACTAGCTTGAAGTTTAGAGTAGTGCGGAGATATCAAAAAATTCTTCAAACAACATAGCATCATGAAAATGAATGGATGTACTTCCACTACTTGTATCTTCAAATGCTCTTGATTGATGTTTTAGTATATTAGATGAAGAATGATTTGTTTCTATAGTATTGTATTGTGGTTTGACTATTATATGAAAATAATGCATATATATATATATAATATATATATATATATATATATATATATATAATTTATTATACAATGTAGTAAAAGCTATGTTATTAGATTTTAGTTGGTTACAAAATATGATTAGATTATTACTTTGAAGTAGTTAGTTTAAAAGGGCTATTATTAAAGTTGATTTTATATTGATAATAGTTTTTATATATTTAGAATCACCTTTATTAGACATTGGGGACTCTTAAAATCTTATTTTGTTTCTTTTATTTAGTATTTGGGACACATATTATATAAAACTTATTAGCAAAATGACTAGAGAAGAATTTTGTATAAAAAAGAATAGTTAGGTCAGTCATATAGATGAATAGAGATGGATGATGAAAATCTCTATTTCTATTGGCCAAAATTCATGCCTAATAGACTTCAAGGAGGTTGTCTAAGGCCTTATTATGAATTAGGGTTGCTCCTTCGAGGCCATTCAAATATCAAAGATTTAAGTCATTAAGTTTAAGATTTTGGATATGATTTTGGTGAAAATATTATATGATTTGGAGCTTTTATGAAGGAGATATAGGCGCTCAAAGTCAAGGTATCAATTTTGTATCTATTGTCAAGCTTTGGGGCATAGTGCACACGCATGAAGGGCTTTTGAGGATTGGATTATGCAATTAAAAAGCTGGTTTAAAGGATTAGATTTTTCACAAAAAAGACAAAAGGTTAAGAGTTGATTTTAAAGAGAAATGATTGATTGAAGACAACACTTCCAAATTGAGATTTGTTAGTAAACCAATTTCATAAGGAATTTAGTTCTAGCCATATCTTAGGCATTTGAACTAATCTTTAGCTAAATTTTTCCATAAATATGTACTAATATGTTATAAAGCTACAAATCAAATTTTATAGCACTTAAATTTTCGATTTTTGAGATATGGAAAAAATAGTACTCAAGTATTTGTAAATTAGGGTTTAATACACATATTAGGATTTCTAAGATGCAAGACAATTGAAAGTAGATTTATGGTTGATTTTTTTCTATAGTAAAGCTTCAGAATAAATTCTAAATTATCTAGAAGTTTGAAAAAAACTAAATATTTGGATCAAGAGATATAAATTTTTAAAGTTTAAAGAAAAGAAATTTTTTGTGGGAGAAAAATGTTTTGAAAAGGTTTTGTTGCAATTTGAGCATTTTATGCAAAGTAAAGAGATTTTTGGAAGCTAAGACTTTATATATATGTAAAAAATGGAGATATGAAGCTATGAAAAAATTATGATATAATGATAAATTTTTGTAAGGAAATCATGGATTTTCTTTCAACTTATAAAAAATCTAACTTACTAACAAATAATTAGTTATGATTTGGTATAACAAGAGATGTTAGGGCATTTTTAGATGCTTTAGAAAGCCTTTTATATAAAGCTTCTTAAATATTAATATATATTTTTTAATAGAATATCTTTTTATATTATTATATTTATTTTTCTTCTATAATAAGAATATATCACTTATTGAAACTTGACTAATAAATTAAAGCTAAACTTTCTACAACTAGGTACCTAATATATTTTCAAATAAAAAATCATGCCATAAAACAATGGAATTTAATAAATCAATTGTATAAAAATTAAAAATCATTGGATGATTAGAAGTCTCCAAAAGGTGTCATATTTAGATTTAATGATGAATAAATACTGTTCAGTGTATATATAATGTTATTCATTGTCTTTGCTTAGAATGAAGTGTCAATTTTGCATAATAGATCATATTGTAAATTGCATCTATAATTATTTTATTGTTTTGTTTAAAAACAATGTTCTATATTTGAATATAAAAAAGAACAAGTTCTATTTGATCTATGTATATAAAAAAAATCAATAAAGTTTCTATTATAAAATTCACCAATATTATTGGTTCTTAGAGTAAATACTTGATGATTAGGATCTTGAAGAATAATCTTGTATACTTGCTAAAAACATTTTAAAATATCAGATTTCCTACAAATAGAAAAAATAAATTTTTAATGTGTGTAATCATTCTAAAATAATATATAATAAAAAGATCTACCATAGAAAGAAACACTCATTAGTCCACTAATATCACAATTGATCAGCTTTTTTAGATGTGTTGTTTTAATTCTATTAATATTCTTAAAAAAAGAAGTGTAGTGTGATTTATTAAATGTATAGTTAGAGCATAAGATAGGATGTTCTATTGTCTTTAGTCTTAGTTTGCTTATAAAGCCATTATTGGCCATTTTTTGTAGCATATCATCATGTAGGTAATCTAGTCAAAGGTGCCAATTTTGAATATCTTGAAGTTCTACCGAGAAAGATAAATTTCCATAAGATATTGCATAAGGAGCAACTGCAAAAGGAAATAAGATGGTGAATTGAAGAAGATAAGAACCACGAAATATCCTTCTTATTATGATGAGGTTGTTTTCTTGAAAGAACTTGCAAGTATTGTGTTTATAGAGTATAAATGTTTTATGTTTTCAAGCAAATTTGGTGAGACTAAATAAATTTCTTTTAAATCTAAGAATACATAAAACTTGTGTGAATAAATGAACTTCAATTTTATTAAGTAATTGTACAAGAATCTAAATATCTCTAATACCTATCACAAAACAATGATAACTTGTGGAAGTTTCAATAGACCATATTCAATCTAATAATAAGGATTTATAATTTACAAACCAATGAATTTGTTCTATCATGTAATCAATAGTACTACTATTAATAATCCAACCATCTAAATGACTTCCATATGATAAACCATTGTAGGCTCAAGTAATTTCAAAAAATGGAAAATCTAATGAAGATTGATCATATTCATGAGAATTAATATCATTATGATTCTTAATATCAAAGATCATAGTATATTATTCTATATTGAAGAATGAGTGTTTTTAATAAAGATTTGCATATAAAGAATCCAATGATTCAATATATGCAGCTTGAGTATGAAAATCAATTTTTAAATAATAAGGCCGATAATAATTTTCTTGAAATAAATTTAGATATTCTTATCCAAATTTGAAAAACCACGTAGATAGAATCTACTACTATTTGGTGAAGTTTTAGAATTTTTAGTAGTAAAAAAATATTGATGGTTAGCGTATGATGCTTTAGAATCAAAAATAGAATCTTATTGTATGTAATGTAATATCTTCTTTTCTTCTTTTTGTAACCTAAGCTTAAGATTAGTAAGATTATAATCATCTTTAGGAGTACTTTTCTATGCAGTAACTAAAGAATAAAATCTAGCAGGTAAATTAGTTGTAAGCTTTGATATCGTAAAAGCATCAGAGAATGTCATATCATCTACCTTACAGAGTTCATTCATAACAAATTTGAGCTTTGCAATGAAGCTAGATTTAGATTGATCTTATTCTAATTTTGCATCAAAAAATTGACAATGTAAAAAATAAATATTATCATTATTTTTGTATTCATGCTCCTCAAAAAGATAATTCCAAATAACTTGTGGTGTTAAATAAGTGGTCAAAGTAGCAAGAAATTATCTTTCAATAAATGAAATAAGAAGAGTATAAGCATTGCAATGTTTTACATTCTGCTTGTCATTATATGATTTATTTTTATCTAAACCATTAATACATTATATGAGACCTTTTGTACAAAAGAAGTTTTAAAGTTGCCATTTCTAGAGATAAAATTTAGAACCATTGAAACTTTGAATAGTGATTAAATTATTTTTTATTGATATTTTTTATGAAGATAAGAAAGAATAAAGAAATGAATGATGAAATTTTTATTGAAATAAAATCTTAAAAGAAATCAAGAAATCAAAAAAATATATTTAATATTTTAGTAATCAAAAATACTTTTATTCATGTGCAGATTAAAAGATTAGTATCCATAATCTTTCATTTTAATACTAAGAGCATATCACTTAAAATAAAAATATTAAGATATAATATTAATCTTTATTTTTAGAATTCATATTTATTTCTAAAAAAAGTTATACTTTTAAGTAGTAAATCACTAGTTACTAAAGAAACATCGAGAATTATTGTCATAATATGGTGTCACATTACAACAATTGTTAAAATGGTTTAATTCCTAGATAGTGTGTTATATAAGGATCTTGTATAGATTGGGCTATTCTTTTGCATTTACATTCTACTACTAATATTTGTTTGGTTGATAAAGGTTTTGGATCAAATTTTTTTTTAGTTGTGTTAAAATATTGAGTTTTTTCTTAATTGGAATCATTGCAAAGTGATGTCTAATGCAACTCAAAGATTTTTTTTAGCTTGCATTGAGTGCAAATTAGCCACATGTTGGTAATAATATAATTAATGATGCTACAATAGGGTGTAGTAAAAAAAATAAGTGTATGTAATTT